TGACCATTAAAGAAGCCACGAGTCTGGTTGAGATACGTAGACGACACCATCATAATATGGAGCCATGGAAATGCTGAACTAGACACCTTCCTGGAGCACATCAACAACGTAAGTCCTTCCATCACTTTCACAACGGAGAAGGAAGTCCACAACGAATTGCCACTCTTAGACGTAATGGGAAACATTTGTGAATAGAAAACCCACTCACACAGGACAGTATCTGAACCAGGAATCCAACCACCATCAATCGACTAAGAGAGGAACCATCAAGACTCTACTAGACCGTGCTTTCGGGCTATGCAATACAAAGGAAGGTCTCGAAATGGAACTTGGCATCATCAAAAATGAACTTCAACGAAATGGTTACTCCATAGTGATGGTGGAACAGGCTTCAGCTAGAAGACAGCAAGAGCTCCATAAGGAAGAGAAGCCGTCACAACCAGTACTTGTACTTTCCTATATCAGATGATTGTCGGAAAGGATTGGGTCCAAGTATAACATCAGAACCTGCTTCAGATCTGGGAACACTATCCATAGCAGCCTCACAAAAACGAGGCCACCTAACGCGGACTGAGATTCCACGGATTGCATTTACCGGATACCCTGCGAGTGCGGAGAATCATACATCGATGAAACTAAGAGGCCATTGAAAGTTCACTTTACCGAGCATTAGGAACAAACACAGCGAGGAGAAACCAGCAATTATTTTGATTTTTTGGTTGTTGCTTGTATTTCATTTTAATACATTGATGGATGTAGCCGTTACTACGTGGTAGGAAATCATAATGTCTTTTTTCTTCATTGTAATTTACTCTTTTTTGCTCAATATAATTGTTATCTTTCAACTAATCTTTTTTAAATTTTTCACAGATTCTTTCATGTATTTCAAATCAATTAATATCATATTAGACAATGGAAGTCCGAACTAATGAAATGAAGTATTTCTGTTAGAATAATTATTGGTTTCAATTCCACCTCCTAACAACTACTGTCTTTTGACATTTTATTTGAAGTGAAATATCAGTTTCTTCTGCAACACTCGTGTTCAATATAGAAGATATCTACTTACCACCCAGGCACATTAGCTGGATCGTCACAGGTGAATGTATCTTCGTTATAAACTTTACCAGAAGAACATGACCCTCTTTGTGGCGTGACTCCATCTCGACAGATGTAAAACTTTTGACAGTCATCGGGGTGGGCAAATGTTGGGTGAGGAAGTTTTCTGCCGTCGTTGGTCTGTGTTTCACCTTCGGGGCATTCAAAACCATCTTCCAAAGTTTCTCGTCTGGGTTTGAAGCATTCGGCACGTTTGATATTTTTGGGCCAAGTGCAGGTACTAATGATGTCATCATAGGCTAGACCTAATAGTTTACGAATTGAATAAGACAATCGATCATTGAAATACGATATTTCAACTGATATCTCAGTATTTGTTTTTCAGAGGATCCAAAGTCTAAAGTGAATTGAATCTTGCAATTATGTTGCAGCTTCCAAGGCTTCATCAACTCCATAGAAACACTATTATGAAAGAAACTGATGAATGCCTTCAATCCCATAATGAAAAATTTGAAAATATAAAACAAGATCAGTTTACGAGTCAACTTGCTGAGCTGAAGAAATGAATTACATATTATGAATAAGCCAATTATTTCCACTTCTATGTATCAAACCTAAAAGACACTAGCAAAAAAATTTCTCCCAATAACCAGCAGTAGACAGGAATACCTTGATGTGCCTCAGATGAATAAGGGGTGGTGTCAGTCTAATATATATCTTCCTAATCAGTAATTCGCTTGAGTTTACACAAATTCAAAAAGACAAAAGCTGAAAATTAGTATTCTTGAATATTCGAAACATTTTCTAAATGTTATTTGCTACATAATTTATATAACCAAACATTAGTCACAACTGATACTAAACAACATTACTGGAACATACAAGAGCCAATTGCTTAAAATGTAATGCCTCACTTTCTGAAAAGATAAGACGAATCAGTATAACGTCCGTACGATTTTCAAAACTCAAAATCATCTAAGGTCTTCACTAAATAACTCAAACAAAACTGGCAAATGAAGACCAAAAATTAAAACATTGTGTTTATGGCGTTCTGTGTGTTTGTAGTCAGACTTTATTGGTAAAAATTCATCAACATAAATGTGTTAACAATCTTTTTGACAAGACATAGTTCACATATAATAAATTGGGACCAAAATTCTAATGACAGAGCCTAACAGAACAAGAAGAAAACTAAAGTACAAGAGTTTCAAGAGGTCACTTTTCCGAAAATGATTTTTTTTTCTATTTTTCTGTACCATTTTTTGTATGGCGTAGGCTTGCGATCTATATATAACTGAGAACCTAAATCCAGGCAATGCAATAACGGCATAGAACAGCCCGTCATGTTATATCCGAATATGAAGCATCGGATTACAGATGCCAAGCAATTTATAGATAACCCAAAATATGTCTAGACGAATATAATTATTATCTAACAGATGTGGGAAATAGTACAAACTAGCCATTTGTAAACCCAAAATATGAATATGAAAAACATCCAACATTATGATGTACAAATTATTATATGGAACAATATTGTTGGAATGACCGTCATGAAGGGGTGAAAGAAAAACCCAGGTATAGTGTTTTCCGGAGGAAGTGGTAGTCACTCAACTTCTAAGCAGCAAAAAAAGTAAGATGGACGAAATTTCCAGAGAAGTAGCACTGCGCAAAAAAACAGAAAACTTCTCCTCTGAGATGTTCTCAAGACTTCAAATTCATTGTTAGTGAAGAGGGGTCATTAACGAGAAGAACTGGTGTTTCACGACAAAACTTCAAAGTTATTCATCTGTTGGTTCCTACCAAAATCTTACAGCTCGACTTGAGCTCCTGACGAATTGAATATTTTCTGGTATAGATGCTAATGCAATATTTATATTGGGCGGTCTCATAAGCTCATCATTGATCAAAGATAGTGATAACTGTGATAGCATAACAATCAGAGAGTCCATGTACCTTGTCAATTTTTTCAGGAAAGACTTCATTCAAGTAGCGTTGAACTCCATAAAATAAACATGTTTTATTGTGTTCTCTTCTTCAGATTCATTAAGGTTGATTCCAACTCATGGAGGAAGTCAGTAAGGCAGAAAATGGATCGATGCGAGAATTGAACTCGGAAATTTTGGAACTGATACACATACACACAAATACCTATCTAAAATAACCACATAATATTGGTGGCAAGTCAAGGGCAAGAAGTTTTCAAAGAATTCAGTGAAGTCAGACACAATCGAATGCCTTGGACATATTAAAAACCACTGCCAGAGACTTCAATATTGATAATCGTCTCCGTCATTTTGAAGTGATAGATCTGTATTTTTTGAAGAGTGTGTATATTTCTCCAGGAATTAAACCTTAGCTGTTTTATAGTTGTCAGAAAATACTCCTGGCCTGTTCGCATCAGTAAACAACTCGGGTTTGTGATGAGTTGAATTGGTTGTTACTAATTTTTCATGTGAACTTTCTACAAAAAAAGAATATTGAATTTATTTCACAAATCCCTATTTTCAATCATCCTTATCAAATAATACATATTAGAATCAGACATTGATTATTTTTATCCGAGTAAAATTTCTAGCATATAAGATTGAGGGAGATTGGGTGAATCAATGCAATTAACTTCCATGGGTCTTTTTTGATTTACTATGTAAAAAAATCGATAAACATCTTCTTCGACGCTCTCCTATGATTACATTTTACAGACATTATAATTTTTTATAAGTACAGTGTGGATATAAGACTTATGAGTGGAAGCAATTTCAACAGTCATAAAAAATATAATTTGAATTTCAAGTGTCTAACTTAATTTGACTATAACATAACATATAGAATTTGTCTTTCGTGTAATTCAATGTTTAGCTATTTCAGGAGGGGTTTTTCTTCCAGTTTGTGTCTGAAAGTTACTTTTTTGCATGATCTACACATAAATGTATACCGTAAGATACTTCTTTTGAAATTTATTGCTTTCTTCCTTTCTTTTTTAAATATAGAAATAACATATGCAAATATAAAATTAGTGATGGTTACTTGGAGACAAAACGTTGGGTTGAAAATCTATAAACGTCATCCTGTACAGCTGAAAAAAGTGAGAATGAGAAAGTGTTTTTGTCTTTCTATCAATTATTGAAGCGAATTTGTCGAACTTCGGTTCTTTTCGAATACCTTCGGAACCAACCGGAATTCCTTACATTTCAGAACGACATTTAATGAAACTCTAAAATGACCAACTTTTTCATCATTCAACCGACTTTGTATCTCTTACGGTTTCCAATTTCCTTATGCTGGCCCTCCAGAGTATATACCTAACGACTTGATTCACGTACCTGGTGGACAAGATATTTCTTTTGGTATACCATCAATGCAGTTGTGGAATTTGTTACAATCTGTTGGATGACGATAATAACCATTTGCTCTCGGACAACCTGGACTAGGTTTGGCCTCCTCTGAAAAAAATATATTTTTTTTAGATTCCATGAAAGTACCAAAATTTACTTCATTGTAAAAATATTTGTGAAAATTTAGGCAAATCAGAAAGTTAAAACTTTCTTTACTCAATACAAACAAAAGCCTATCAAATAAAGCATTATTGAATAACGAAAACCGTCAGCTGATCATCTCCTGATGATGCTAACTTGATTAGAGAAACGCCCGTTGAGCATTTCAGTTCTGGTGAGGAAAAGGTGTTTTCAATAGATTAATTTTACACCAGAGGTTCTAAATTATACTCATCATCCAGTAGTGGAATATCTATGTATAAAAAAATGAGTGAAAATTTAAGTTTATACGGTTATTTTCAGCACTTGTTACGTACTATACTATTAAGGGATTTCCACTTCTTTTGATTGAACTCCACAACCAGCACTAGGTACTGTCAGTTGCAGTCATAATATTATTTAATCAGTTGTAAAATGTATACTTTAAAGTTGAATATATTATTTTTAATTTCGTATTCGCTCGTGCCACAATTATCACACATCGTCTATTGGCATGTCCCTCAAGTAGTATGTACCGCTGTTGTAGCTCACTGTGAATTCAAATGTGTCATGTCAAAGTAGTAATCTGGAAGAAACGGTCGTTTGAAAAGTTGAATGATAATTTACTGTGGTGAAAAATGTCAATATTCCGATGGATATAAAGGATCTGGACAAAATAAAAAGCCTCATCTGCGATCAAATTTGAGTTCTTTCAATAATGATTTCTTGAATGACTTAGCCTTATCTTAGAGTAAGACTTATCGGACAAAATTGAAGAAAAATTTATTCTGCAGTTGAAAAACAAGGTGAAGAAATTCTTGAATTGAAGAATGATGTAAATACATCGAGTACTAGATATTTGGAAATGGAAACTCGATAACAATAGCAAATATCCATAACTTGACATTGGTCCATGAAAATATATGAAAATATATGAAAATTTCACAATAAAGTATTCTCTGTTCAGATGGAGAACATTGAAAAGGTATTGCTTTCGACATTAACAAAATTGAAGTTTGATTAGGGAAAACACAATCACTAATCATAACCCCGACTGGAGGGCTGTTTAATGATAATAAACACATTACAGATGCATGTCTTTCCAACCGTTGAGATCTCGAAACAAGGGTATTTTGAATACTTGGAACAGCGATACATTAAGTTTTTTGCATACATCTCATTTACAATATTGTATGACAGAAATGATTTGAAGCTGGATCTGATTATTTTGATCCAAACCATAAGAATTTCATTTATGAAAAAAAATATTTTGAAGGGAGAATATAACTGTTTAATCAATTCAAAGGATCATATATAGAAAATTAAATTTTTGGAGTACTTACGTAAAATAGGTCTATCTTTACAATCTACATTGGCTGGAATGTCACATCTTTCAAGAGTATCTATGTCTGAGGCTCGTTTGCCTCAGAAGAAGCAACGCAACTCAGGTTATAGAAGTGAATTTAGCGATCTGTTCCGGCTGGCGTATTTCTGGTTCTAAACTACAAACCAAGTGATCCGGGTGCGGTCATGAATTGCTGCTCACCTAGCGGCGTCGCCAGTTAGCTGGGCAAACAGCATTGGAACTTACCCATCTGGGACTTCGCCCCTGACTAGTTCGACTGATAGTTTGTTAACGAAGACCTTCGTGTCTACATGAAATTGGTAAGATACTTGTTTTTGTTAGTGCCACTGAGTCAATTCGAAAGCCAGAAGTGGCCAACCTTGTTAAGGACCAGCTAGACCTTGTGCTATAACAGGAAGGGTCAAGATTGTAGGAATTGAGGTCATGAATCCCATCTGGCTCACAACATGAAACGATACCCCTTCTGCATCTCTAAAAGTTTCTTCAGAATTTCCAGAGCTCAGTTGTTCCTTTTCCTAGTCCAAGTGGGACGGCAGGAACTGAAAATGGTTCAAAGGTGAACTCTGAGCTCCAAAGCTACTTTCCCCGGTAAAATAAGCTATTCCTGCAGAGTCTGCTTCCTTCGCATTAATCATTTTTGCTCAACGTTGGGCACCATGTCATCAAGATAGCACTTGAGATGATCCTCTTTTGGAGCGTACTTCTGAATAAGTACCCGGCTGGGCGTGGAGTTACTGTAGAACTTCGGTCCCAAGGCTGCATACCGATTAGTAGGAATTACATTCGTCACCTCTGAAAATGATTCCCATACATACAAGTGGAGAGTGCCTTCTCACACAAATATGTGGTTGAAAACCTCATCAGCTCTTTTAAAGCAATGTTCGAAAGAACTGGATACTCTCCCCTAGTCTTTATCCAAAATGAAAAAAAACAATTAAAAAGTACTAAGTATTTTCAATCTGTTTCCGCGACCCACCCAACCCATAGTTTAGGAACCACTGGCCTAGATCACCTAATAGACAGACTGACGATATTGTTTACTGACACAAACCTACTACTTTGGTAGTACTATCTGTTTTATTCAAAATATTCAAGAGAAAGTTTCTTGAAACAAAAAAAAACTAGGACAGATAAAATATTTCATTCATTAGATTGCATGACAGAAATTCGTTCGTTAATAATTCTGAAAAAAACATTTTTGGGAAGGCGTAAAACCGTTCGATTAAGTGTCGAAAAAAAGCGAGATACCAGTTCGATAATTTTTATGTTTGGAATGGAAGTTAAAGATTTCAAGAAGTAATATTACAAAAACTTGATACTGACAAAGGCATTGAAATAATATTATGAATAAAATACCTTTATAAACTCCTTTCCTTTTTATTTAAAAAAATTGGCAGCGACTGTCAGCAGAGTTTCACCGCAACCTTGAAACGTATTTTGTATTGAACGATATTTTTTTTAGTCAGGTCAAAAAGTAATTATCCGTGCTCCAAATTCTTTCAGAAAATTGAATGTATTTATTAATTAAGTATCAATTAATGATCTATAACTTGGAGTTCATAATTAAGAAATCACTACAGTTTTAAATTATGTCTAATAAGATACGTTTGACATCGAAACATGGTAGGCAAAACAACACATCTCAATACAAATAAAGTGAAAGTTCTTGAGATTCCGAAATATAGAAGTTTGGCAGGTATTGAAAATTCAGATGAACTAGCTAGAACTGATGCAGGTGAATAGTTCGTACCATTAGAACCCGCCTCCGGAATCTCCCAGTTATGAAATTAGAATGTACACCTACTACATAAAATATAAATTGTGAAATGAGGATGACAAAAAGTAAAAAAGAAGAGAGAAATTTATTGAATCAAGTCTAGTTATTTGAATCGATTTACAAATAAATGAATCGATAGCTAAAAAATTGAGTGAAAGACACGAGTGAACAAGAGAAAATTCTCAATATCCACCCTCTTGAAAAATTGAAGACAGAAGAGGGACTTATGTCATAAATGAATATTTTCTTCAATGGGAATGAAGTTTTTATCGAATGAATGAATGCATTAAACCTGTTCAATCGACTAAAAAGAATTAAGATTTTATAAACTTAATAATTTCCGAGTTCATATTATATTTGTTAACTCTGAAAATACAAAACGTTCAATGTGCACACTTCCATAAATATCGAAATTTTTCTTTTGACTTTTATGTACAATAATTCAGAATAAAATAACTCGATTTATTTATAAATTCGATTTATTACTAAATTCCTAAATTCCTTAACAGAATAGTAACTCTACCTTCATTTTCATGTGGAACGTCGATAAATAAAAAAATATATTGAATTAAAAACTTTAGGAGTGTTTCAGTAAAAGATCTTCTAAGAAAAATGTAGGCAATAATTACTGGATTATCTACAATGAATTAAAAAAATAATTGTTTAATGTCTAAACAGGAATATATCCCAATAACAAGACATATTAATATTATTAACAAGCATGTTACAGTTTTATATCTGCCTATATACACACAATACACATACATATATACATACATACACATATACATGAATACAATACTAATTCATCAACTAGAAACACCTGAAGCGAGTAAACAAAAAACAAAATAAAGTAAACATTTGGGAGAGTTAAGCAAAAAATTAGGTGGAAAACTTGTGTGCAGCAAGCTAGGAGAGTAATTGAAAAAAAACATAAGTCAGATATAGAGCTAACAAGTAAAAACATAGTTCAAGTGTATTACAAAAAAAACATAATTCAGCAGTAATACAGTAGTAGTGATAAGCTCACATGGTAGAATAACTTTCAATTTGTCAATTTGGGCTCATGTATTCTGACTAGAGTGTAAAAGTTTCTTAACGTGTCTCTTAACTTGACCAATAGGTTCATAATAAATGTCGAGATTTTCACAGAGTTGATTGTAAAGTTTGCTCATTGCAACAACTGGTGACTTGAGTAATATGTTTGTTCTAGAATTTGGTAGATAAAAAGCAAGTTTATTTCTAGAATTGATTCGTGGAACACGAAAGTTGAAGTGGGAGAGTAGTTCGGGACAGTCAATCAGATAATTCACTAGTTTATAAATGAAAATTATAGAGTAGTAGGTTCTTCGGTTTTGAAGGGATAATAGATTAAATTTATTCAGTAGTATTCTGTTGTCGATGCCTTGTTCCGGGTAAACTCCTTCTAGCTTGTAATATATTTCATGAAGCCTCTTTGTATAGACTCGATTTTGTTTATGTGGACATTGTATATGGGTGACCAAATAAGGGAGGCATATTCCAGCCGAGATTTGACGTATGCATTGAAAAGAGTTAAAAAACTGTCTCTGCTACGAAAATTCTTACAGTTACGATAATTGAGCCCTAGCATGCATTTGGCTGAGCATGTTATTGTGTCATAGTGAACGGAGAAACTCAGTTTAGGGTCAAATGTGACACCAAGATCCCTTTGATAAGTATTTATTTGAAGAGGTGTGTTATTTATGCAGGTGTGTTATAACATTATGTTTAAGCGTGTATTTTGAGTATTTACATTTCTTTGTATTGAGGGGAAGATTATTTTCGGTACACCAAATGTACAAAAGTCAAGGTCTTTTTGTAAGATTAAGCAGTCCTCCTGTGATGTAATGGCCCGAAAGATTTAATTGGTTAGGGTATAAATATCGATATATTGCCTCAGAAACATTTTGTTTTTAATGCCATTATCGATAAAATCATGTATTCGAATATTACATCAAGGAAAAATTCTAAAATTTACAATTGCAACATAACTTGTTCTATATCGCTAAAAACTCTTCATTTGAATGGGCTAAATCACACTTCAATCTAGTAAAACGAATTAAGATTTTGTAAACTTAATAATTGCTGAGTTTCTATTACATTCGTCACCTCTGAAAATGATTCCCATACAACAAGTTAAATTCGAAAGTTAATTTTCGAAATTTTACTTTTCATTTTTATGTACAATAATTCAGAATGGAATAACACGATTTATTTCTCTGAATTTCATCAAATTATTATACACTCTAGTCATTTGTTTTATTTATAATTCGTGAATTATACATGTACTAATGTTCTAACACAATAAACTTTGTGTACACGGGATACGAGTATGATCCTTGATAACATAACGCAAAATCAACTCGATTCAATTCTTTTAAAGAATAGTAACTCTACCTTCATTTTCATTTGGAACGTCGATAAATAAAGGAAAAAATTAAATCAAAAACTTCCAGAGTGTTTCAGTAGAACGTCTTTCAAAAAAATGTAGGCATTAAGGAATGAAAAGAAACATGGAAAAAATAGATGCATAAAGCCGAGTTATGCGGTCAATCAATAATTATAGGATTATCTACAATGAAATAATTGGTTAGGGTATAAATATCGATATATTGCCTCAGAAACATTTTGTTTTTAATGTTGAATATATTCAATATGCCTTTGAAAATATATAAATTCGACTTGATCAGACTATAAAAAATAACAGTCAAACAGATGCTTTCTCTGTTCGGTAACAATTTTGTTGGCGAATAGAATATTAATTTTTGATGATTTTTTGAATATCTGAAGTTTGAAATACAGCGAGAGTTGTATGTTACTGATGTATTAATAACCACTCAATATATTTGAAAATATCCGTTTATATAATGAATGAATTGTAGACAATTAATTTCTGGTTCGTCATGTCAAAAACAAATTCTCAGATGTACATGCATTCTTAATGCATCAAAAAAATATGTCGTTTTTCTACCCGCCCGTCTCAGCTCAATTGTCTAACAAAAAGAAGAGAAGTCTTTAAAATGTTTATCAGTTATCGGGATACTTATGGTCCAGATTACAATTGTTGAAACAATCTAAAAAAAATGGAAAACTGATTTTCTGGTATTTTAAAATTGAATAAACATAATGGAAAAACAGGAAATGCATAAACACATAAATTGTATACGAAAGATTTTTTGGCAGACGAATCGAAAAATTGAATAGCAATAATAAAACAAAAATTATATCTTTCAAAGAAAATGAATAAACAGTTTTAATCACTAACCATTGTTATTTTTCGAATATTTGTTTCTAGCGACCCGCCCCGGCACCGCACGGATGCAATACTGATACTAAATATAAATTCACCCATCGGAAATTTAACGACATGGAGAAACAATGATGAAAAGATTGTTTTTTAATTGACGCGCCTGTTTTTCCCGCGGCTGGCG